CACATCACAACATTCTAACGAGTAACTTATTATGACTATAAAAACACTCGTCTTATTTCCCATCTGATTGTAATTGATCAATAACACTCGAATTATTATTTCTAAATGTACATTATCTTATAGATTTTTATTCAAATATCTAGTCAATTCCAAACATGTATATAAATGAAGCAAAAAGTTGTGTGAGTGAGTGACTTGATATGATTATGAGTGGCAATAGTTTGTGCTCGAAACTTGGTCATCAGTTAATATTACTGTATAACACTGTGAGACTTTATCAAAATAAAATCTTACCCATAATGGAGTTACACTCTACCACAGTGCCCAAGCTTTATACTTATATCAATGATTATGATCTTGACCAGCGGGGTCCATCCAGTTGGGTATGATGACAAATACTCGCTGATGACATTGGTTGGTTATTATGCTATATATATTCACGAAATGGCAGAAGCTACAACTGATGGGCCATTGTATTCTATCCCAGTGGGTGAATGGTATACAAGCATACCTTGTAAGCTGAAGGTCCTGGATTTGGTCCCGGATGGAGTCATGCTGTGTACTGTTAAAGAATCCCAAATACGAACGAAACAACTTTGCAGTACTCTCTGGTTCTCAGTGATCCTCTTACTGAAGTCAGTTCGTGATAAACCTTCACCACAATCTGTCTATAAATGTTTTAAGTGTATTGACATTGCTAATCTGTTATAACAATAAACTGTTAACTATATCATCTTATGTGCCGCAAAAAAGATGTCATAAAAATAAGCACAGCTACTTATTAAGACTTTAGAAAATTTGTTTTGTTTTCATATTAAATGTATTCATCACTCCTACATAAACAGGACAAACAGTTGCACTGTTGTGTCATTACATTTTTCCAATAAAATTCTATAGATTAAACTTAACACTTTCTTTTTACAGCGTCCACTTGATCATGGAGCAGATGTTGTCCTACATTCCCTCACAAAATATATGAACGGTAAGCTGCATATTTGTAAGTCTTATAAAATTAGTCAGATAGTGTAACTACAACTTGTAATGAGCTTCAAAGGTAAGTTCGTTATTGGCCTACACAGACACAGAGGCATGACTGGATCATGGAGTTTTTATTATCATTCTAGACATTAACTTGATTTAAAAATTATTCGTGAAAAAATATATCGTAACAAATGCTTGACAAATTATCGTGATTATCTGCGATATGAAGAAACTACGTAGCTTTATTTCTAATGCTCATTAAAATGTAGATAGTACAAAAGACTTCTGGGTTTCCAATTCTGTCAAGTTTGATGAAGTAATGCATTGCAGTGGTGGCTTTTTACTGGTCACTAACAGTAGATTCACCTGACCCGACCGACTGCTGTTACCTTGACGCGATAGTCGGGCTTACATATCGCAATTACCTAACGAGCTACACCAACTGGAGCTAATGTTCCTACTAGTCCTACTATACAAGGCAGGTTGTTTGGATACTGGTTAGATTAAAAGCAGTTACTATAATAGTGTAAATCGTTTACACTGTTAGAAGTCTGAGAGCAAAGTTATACTGCTGGTAAGTAGGAATGTAACAGCTGTGAGATATTCCCCTTAGATGACCAGCGAGCAAGATATACTATCGCTTCTTTCTAAGAAGGAGGGTTAGAAAAGGTCGAATCCGAAAACTGTGCATACTAACTTACCGTTGGTAAGATCTTAATGCGGACACAACTACAAAACCTAATTCAGATAGGACATTAGTGATCGACCTCAGGCAACTGTCCTCTCAGCTCTGCAGTTACGTAACACTATCACTCCTTCTTTTTTAGGTATTTCAGGAGGAAACAACTCACACAGTGTGGGCAGCCGGGAAGTGATAATCACCCAGACATTTGCATAAACATACGAAGCTTCCTTGGTCATCATACACCTTCATCTTCCAGTCAGATGCATTTAGAATTTGTGCATTGTGTTTCATCAATGTTTATTTTCTCATGGATAGTAGAAATTGGGTTTTGTAGCATAGATATTTAAATTTCTGTCTGTTAAGTCACAACTTGAAACACACTAAATCTATATCAACCTTCTTAGTGTGACGGATACCCACGCATAACTTATAGCATAGTTGATAAAGGCCTTATCTTACTTATAAACTACTATTAAAAAACCACCATTCATCCCCAGATATTTCTAAGCAATAATGAAAGTTTGTCTTATTTTTTATCAAATCCTTCTGCTTCAAAATAGACTATTCATATTATTTTTAAGTAAACACTTCCATAATATCAGAAATAATAATATATTTTAGAACATTTTTGATTTACAGTAAAACAGATTACATATTCATAATGTTCGTCTCTCCCTGTCCTCAAGTCCATTGTTGTTGATCATATGAAAGCTCACCTCTATCGTCACATCTGGTGGTTACCTATTTGACAGAATTGTATAATGTATTATTGCTGTTTACAGCAGTTTGAGAAAGCCTAAAGCCATAACGCAATAAAATAAATCTGAAGAAACAAGAAGTCATATATATGTATACGTTGTCCATCACCTAGGTGAAAAATAGGCAGTAAATGTGTCTATTCTTTTACAACAGACTTTATGTTATGCTGCGTAATTTACCTATTATTCTTCCAAGTCATATCTTGCTGTATAATTTGAACTATAAGGTTATGACTCATTGATTTAACACCAGTTAATCGTTTCATCATTATGAAAGTAGTTTTAACTGGGATAAGTCAACAGAATCATCCGTCCTTCAGCCATCTATTACACAGGGTTTCTTTCTGTAGCTTACAACCGTATCATGAGAGCTAGGTTGGCATACGTCAACTCGAACCACATCTGGAGCCGTCGCGACGTTAGCCTGGCTGTCAAAGGTTGGGTTTACAATGCTTCAGTGCGTGCTGTCTTTTTCTACACCTGTGAAAGGTGGCCTCTCTGAACTGAGGATGTACAGTGACTCTGCGTATTTGATCATCGTTGTCTCCGTAGAATTGTTAGCGCTCAATTGTGTCATCATGTGAGCAACTGAAGTCCGGCCGCCTGTGTTTGGACACACTGGAGATCACTATTCATTGAGTGTCGTCATCTGGAAACACCGGCTCTGATGGCTTGGCCATGTGCTACGGTTTTCATCCCAGAGGCTTCTCCGGATCTCTGTTCGCTAGCCCTGGGACGGAATGGAAAAAGCGGAGAGGTGCTCTGCCCATGACGTGGCGTCGTGGGATGAAGGATACTTGTGGTAGGTTAGCATTGGCTGGTGCCTTACGACTCCCTGGTTGGGTTCCGAGAGACAGCTGAAATCGGTGGCTCAAAACGTTATTGGATGTGGCCAAGAAACGCAATCAATGGCGGACGTGCTGCAATTTCCTTCTCTCTTCCTTTTTTGAAAATAATTCGACGAATGCTATTTGGTCTTGTGAAATATAACTGTCTTCTTCCCAGATGAAGTCCTTTATTTATTCTCTACCTGTTTTTAAATAATAAAATAATAAGTAGTAAACCTAACTCTCAAATTCACTTAAAAGATTGCTCACATAAAAGTCTTGTTAAGGGGAATTCGTTTTCATTCAATAGGAAACGGTGTCCTTCGCAAATGTAGTCATATATCATGCATGACTGATGTGATTTTTGTTATTTATTTTCCAGTTAAATAATGCTGCTAAACTTATTCCTTTTATATGCACTGTGATTTAACAGTTAACTGGTGAACGAAACATATTATATCCACGCAGATTCGTAAAAGGAGTCAAGTGGTAACGTGGAATATGCTTGCGTATATAGAGGTATTGTATGCCATTGGTTTATGCACTCGACTCTGGAAACCCTTTCGAATTAACAAGGCATTATTATCACTTTTCGAGCAATAAACATGGCTGATTGTCAAGTGCATATAAATGCAAATGATTTTTACGATATTTTTATATAGGATAGGTGAACACAGTTTTTATATACACGTATTTCCTAATGTGTATGCTATTGATTTCTCAAGAAACCTTTGTGGCATCTTGACACTAACTGTGTAGCACTTGAATTGACTGTTTTTTCTATGTGAATTAAAAGTTATGCAGGTAAATACATTGTACTCGATAAATTTCACTTTCCCCTTCTCGTTAACAGGACATTCTGATGTAGTTATGGGTGCATTAGTGACACGCAATCGTTCTGAATTACACAATCAATTCAGATTTATACAAATGGCTGTAGGAGCTGTTCCATCACCATTCGACTGTATGTTGTGTCTCAGAGGATTACGGACACTTCCATTACGAATGAAAGCTCATATGCGAAATGGACTTATAGTGGCTATGATGCTTGAAAAACATCCAATGGTGGAAAAAGTTCTACACCCAGGTACGTGTGACATTGTTTTAACATCGAGTGAAACTATATACTGTTTTTTTAAAAAGAAAGCAGAATCTATGACTGGTCGTTCTTCATATGTATTAATTGCGTCATAAAATACTTATAAATGTTCCAGTGAAAATCGGACGATCATGTATTCTATCGTGTTATACCTAAACAAAGTATTCACTAATACCTCTTTGATAATCAGAGTTTTCCGTGTCATTTCCTTTGTCTTGATAAGAAATTATCTCAAACTAAATAATTCCTTCAAAATCTTCACGTTTTATATCACTTTAAATACGAGTTATTTAGAAAAAGGTATTTGATAGCTTTAAGTTCTCATCTTAAAGCTCACACTTACTACGCCTTCTGCACTACTGCCGAAGAGATTGAGGAATAAATTTTAGCCTGTCTATTTGAATTGAATTGCTCAGCTATATACTTATCAGTCGTTTTCATTTTTGATATAGTTTTGTTCTCTGAATTGGGTGGTTTAATTATAAAGCTTTCGTTGTCTTACTAGACCACATAAACAGTTTTTCCGCCCGCATTTATTTTAGTTGCCTGCGTTCTGTCTCCCATGTTAGGTAGTATAATAAGGTGAACAATATTGACATTAGGCACCGAGTGCTAGGTAAGGAAGAAAAATCAATCGACGAGGTTGTGAAGTTACATAGATTGAGATGGTGAGGACATATGTTACATATGCCCAGTCATCAACTTCCTCGACGGGCAATATTAGCTGACATAGCATGGATCAGGTTGGATAAGAGCTAGTGGTGGTCAAATGAAAACAGGGCATCAGCCAATGAAATCCACAACAGTTTGTTAAGCCAGTTACGCAGGGAGGTGTAGACTTCTTGGTTGTGGTCGTTGGGATGGTAAAAACCAATGGCTGGGGATAATTGTTGAAATGACTCAAACTTGTGCTCAGTAGCGCAGATGTATTCACTCTTTGTGATTTGTAATATCCAATAAAATTCTATCGTTCTTCCATATTGCTGTTCTTCTTGCCTCTTACTTGTGTTTATTATCTGCCTTTTTAACCTCACCTTCCTCTCTTCTCTTGCTTTGTGTGCTACATAGAGTGTGGCAACTTGAACTGCTGCACACATGTGCAAAGTCCTATGTTAAAACCAATCGGTCAGTCATTTCAGTTGCTTGAGAAATTCATTTTGAGGAGAAAAATGACTCTCCTATAATTTGTTGACAGGTATTTGAATAATAATAGTAATAATAATAATTTTATTTCAAATACTTTCGATGCAATGTGGAATTCTCACCAATATGATACACTATTGCATCTGATTTTCTCTTCGCATGAAATATTATTGTTTCCTTGGGTTTCTAGTAGAGTATAGAGCTTCAACCGCATCTCTCCATTTCAATCTATTCCCTGCAGTCCTTTTTTAGCTGGCTCGATGACTGCTCATAAGCTTTAATTTCTTATTCATTTGATCTTCTCCATGTCACCCTCGAACCCATGCTTAACTCATCATTTCCCATTGGGGTTCCACTAGAGGGCTTGCTGGCTTGTGATACCACTTGACAGTCTCCTCCATTACAGACTGTTATGTTGGTCATAATAACAATAATATCAGTAATGATGATAATGAATTGAAATAATAAGAATATTGATAACAACTAATCAATAATTTCAAGGATGAAATTGTCATTTCCCACTAGGGTTCCACTCGAATAAGGGCCAAGTGCGCGATGTTACTCGACAGTTTCCTCAGCGCGTATGTCCAATCCATCTCCATTTACTTCAGAATGTTTGTTGGGCAGTAGGATCTTGTTACTTATCCTTTCTGACTGACAATCTGGTCTTTAGTATTGAGATGGCTAAGGCATTTCTTGATAAAAAACTGAAGTCTGCCGGAAATGCTCTTTGTGACACGCCTTTCCAGAACCATATAGAAGGACTGACTTGACTAATTTTAAAATTAGGATTTTCAACGCAAATTGTTCTTTATACTCATTAATGACTGCAATTGCAGTGGATTTCTACACTGATTTCAGAGTTATAAATATTTCTCTTGCTTCTTTGATATCTTCATCTGTACCACCGCCTGTAGTTGAAACGATGCTACCCAAATAAGTGAAAGAAGGCCTCTTTCAAACTTCTCCTGTTGATGGTGACTGATGCTTGTTGTTGGTTAACTATCTTCATCAACTGCTGTCTTCGCTCAAAACTCAAGATCAGATAGCCAGAAAAGATCAGCAACAGGGATCTCTGGGAGCAAACCAACCAGAAACCGATTGTGCAACAAATAAGCAGGAAGAAATGGAGGTGGATTGGCCATACTCTGAGGAAACCATCAAGTGACATCACATGCCAGGCCATCGCTCGAGTGGAACCCGAATGGGAAGCGGCGAGTTGGTCGTCAGTGCAAGGGTGACTTTGAGGAGGTCATGTGAAGAGGAGATAAAAGCATGTGGGCAGACTTGGAGCCAGGGGAAAACGCTGGCAGAGAACCGAGCGCAATGGAGACGCGCGGCTGAAGCCTTATGTTCCTCTAGGAGTTAAAGGAAACAATAATAAATAGTTTAATAATAATATATTTTATATTGATTTTCAGCAATTTTCTTCTAACATTTAAGGTTTGAAATCATTCCCTCAACAAGATATTGTTGCTAAACAAATGCATGGTTTTAGTGGCATGATAACTGTGTATCTACGATGTACAGGTGAACAGACTAAAGTGTTCCTTGAACATTTAAAGGTAATTTCACTATTCATATTGCTTATAATGGATTACATTTCCTATATGGCTTTTGCACAAATATTACTGTGAAGATTCTTTTATCTCTTTTTTTTATTATGTGATATATAAGAAAATGTCATTACAGATCTAAATATTGGGGTTTGTACATCAGTGGAACATCCTGTGTGGAATTTATTTACAGAGAGATCATTTATCCACTACTCATATTTGTACTGTTTTGAGTCATAATTAATGTATCGGGGCTGATGATACTATGTATTCTGAAGCAAGTGCACCCGAATTTGATCTCTGGATAGGTAAACTGAAGTTGAATGTTTAAACCAGTGAGCTACTAATCACGATGTGGAAGCAGAAAAGTATGTAATCATCAATAAGAAGAAGTAGTTTGTCTGAGACGTGTAATGTATTTGTGCAACTCATTTCGGACAATCTGATCACACACGTACTTGTCATACACATCTATATAGAAGACAAGAAGTCATGAATCATTACAATACAGGTCAGAATGTGTACAGGTCGAGATCACAAATAATAGGTAGGGAGATGACGCAAACGTGTGGGTAAGAAAGAAAGGAAAAATAAGCCTCGGTCATACAAACACTTAAACCTGTCTTATGTGTCGAAAAGTTATTTGTTATCTTTATTATAAATTGATAACAAATAACTTTTCGACACATAAGACAGGTTTAAGTGTTTGTATGATCGAGGCTTCTTTTTCCTTTCTTTCTTACCCACACGTTTGCGTCATCTCCCTACCTATTATTTGTGATCTCGACCTGTACACATTCTGACCTGTATTGTAATGATTCATGACTTCTTGCCTCCTATATAACTGTGTATGTCAAGTACGTGTGTGATCAGAATGTCCGAAATGAGTTGCACAAATACGTTACACGTTTCAGAAAAAATGCGTCTTTTTATTGTTTTCGAAATTCATAAGGGGGAACTAATTGCTTTAAATCATCAATAACCGCGAGTACATAATAATAAATGTTCATATAGAATTCCATTTCTACCGAATACTACCTTCTTATGGATGAATGATAATATCGAAAACAGGGACAGAAAATCTGGTAGAAAGTTACGCTTGTATCAGTAAATAACTAAGGGTAAATTAAGAAAATAGGTTTGTTTGTACAATAGCCTAAAAGATACTATGTAAAACAGTGTTTATGAATTTACAGATTCCATAACAAGCCATGGTGGCAATAGTGGCTGGAATTGTTTCTTTTATACTCAAATCTCCAACTGTTTTAAACAGTTTATTCGGTGCACGACAGATGACAGAAAAAATTGTTTTGTACTTGCATTACGGTGCATTTGCAATAGTTGTGCTAATACTGTTACTGTTAATTACTGATTGGTGTTTCTGAGCACGAAAAACCAAGACTAATATTAATGCGTCCCTACAGGAGCGGCTGGATAGATAGATAAACGGAAAGATGGCTAGACTAGGCACTTTGTCTTTCACTTTTAGAACCACAACCGGGTTTACAGAAAATATGAGCTGTAATTTTGTTAGCATATTGGTCACTGTTTCACCTGCCCACACATTTAGAGTGACGGAATATTTCTTTTCGACTTTTTTCGTAAAGTGCATTTTTATTGGATATCTATATGATTTTTTTGTATGAGTGAAATCCTAATATAGGATTATCTTCTCTTTCGGATTCTAATTCAGATGAGAAATTAATGCTTGAATGTACCCCCAATGAATTAGACTATTGTCGTGAGCTTACCTTAATCATTTTCACTCAAAATAAGAATATTATGATAAACTATTACAATGGAACATTATTGTAGAAAAAATACTGTTGCTATCAATAAAAATTATCCTCTAATTATCATACACATATACCTGTAGAACTTGACGAATAAGTTATCAAAGTGAATACTCTTTGAATAAAGCAAAAATCGAGCATTCTGTGCAGAATAGGATGGTGCCATCATTTATTCCGTCGGCTTCTCATCACTCACCTACAGTCTAAAAACATTAATTTATTATAGGGAGCAATTTTAACATAATTGCAAATGTGACATAGTGTCAGTTAACAAGACATTCTAAAATCAATAAATAGTGCTCAGAAATTACACTTACATAACTTCTATACAGAAGGTTCAAGTCTGAACAAAACTAAATTTAAAAATAAGAAATTTTTGGATACAATGCAACTAGAGTTGTGCAATGAAGGCAAAAGATGGATAGGATGATAAGTTGCAATAACTATGTGGTGAGTTCAGCTCAAATCACAGAGACAAAAGACAAACAAAATTACATCATAGCGTAAGGGGAGAAATTCAAAGCCAAAGACTACGTCATCAAATGAGAGGAAGAGTAAAGATATCAAGTTACCAGGGCAAAAAGAGTTGCGTAATTTCTTCCTTTTGAAAATAAATCGAGTTTGAAGGGCTTGATAGTAATTACTCCGACTAAGATGAATAGAACTAACTATACTGTCTATTGATAATTTTAAAGAATTTCAGGGTGTCCAGCTTATACCACTACCGACTCTTCGAAGCTCAAGCTCGAAACCCTATGTTTCACTCGAGATGTATAGGTATAGTAGAGAGAGTTCAGTGATAAAATCAGCAGAATATATGGGAATAAAAATGACATAGTTCATGACCTAATTAATTAATACAGGGGAAATGATGCGTATCATACTGTAGATTCAAAGTTGACATATAAGATGGTAACTAAGACATAGCAGAAAACATGAGGGTGAAACAATGGTAAAACACTTAGAATCAAAAATAAAATTTAGTGGACATTGGAAAATTTTCTACAGTTTGGTTTGTAAGGGTATACGAGCTTGCCTTGTAACCGGAAGGTCCTGGGTTCGAAACCTGGCGGTGGGTGCGTACTGACGACGATTCCCAAAACTAGAATGAAACAGCTGTCCAGTACTCCCTGGTTTTCAATGTTTCTCTAACTGATATCGATCCGTGATCAACTCGTAAAAACATTGGAAAATGTTAGAGACACGAATACTCTTTGGGGATGATAGCGAACTAGAACAAATAATAAATAACAAATACAACCAATTACCAAGGCATTACAAGGTGGACCAGAATATCTTTCTATATTCGAAAGTCAGGTTTCACTTAATGGATCACTGTCGCTTCTGCATAATGTATGCACGAGTGACACATTGATGGATGAGTTTCGACATATACATTCAGTTTTATTAGCTAATAGTTATCCGGAAAACTTTATCACTTGTCACAGTAAAGAAAGATCACATCTCGAAAAGACAGCTACTGTACCAAAGAAAGCTATCTTTATTAACCTACCATCCAAGGGTGACGAGATTATGCAATTGATAGCTCAGAGACTTTGGTCAACTATCAAGCACACACTCTACGCCTCATCTCTTTCCGTCACATCTCGAACATTTTCTATCCCTGTACCTACGATTAAAGGACGAAATTCTGTGGACTCTACTTCCAACTGTATCTACAAGTTCACCTGCAGCTGCGGTGACACCTATATAGGTAGAACCAACAGAGTGTTCCAATGTCGTCGAAAGGAACATGTTCCAAAATGGTTACTAAAACATATAGGAAATCCCAACGCGCTTAATCTGAATAGAAATCCAGCATCATCCATTGCAAAACACTTATTAATGTCAGGTCACAAAATCAGTATTAATGACTGTTTCACAATTATTTCACATAACTCTAATTCAAGGTTATTGAAGGTGATGGAAGCACTTTGGATTAATCACATACAGCCTAAACTGTGTGTACAAAAATCAATAGACTTCAATCTTCGCCTACCCTGGACTACATGACCTATCTAAATATGATTGGTCATTAGTGTGTACTTTTGTGTTTTTTATTTAACTGAGTAATTGTCATGAACTTTATTTTATTATTGTTAACCATGTTAGTTGTAAAGCGGTTGTAAAGAAACTACGAAATGATATCATCTCGCGAAATCTGTCTTCTTAATGCCTTATTCATAATGTATCAGTCTGTTGTTATATTCTCTCTTCGCTACATGGAAAACTGTGTTTGAATAGATAATATGACCTGTATCGATATATATATTTATATATAGCACTGATAGATGGTTTTGCACCTCTTAATGGCAAACTTTTCAGCACACTTTCAAAGATACTTATCCTCTCTCTACTTCAAGCCTACATTCTAATGTAAGTATAGATTATTAAATACATGCAACTGAAGTCAACACGATGGTTTGTCTTATCTTGATTTTCTTCTGCTTGGTATGTTTTATGTGTTGTAAACTACTGTTTGTTTCGTAGGAGAATAGGTTGGCGTGATACATGCATTTATCTGGCGACCATTTTGTGAACTCTGTTCATCATCATCATGAAATGGTTGTCTAGTACTGTTGCTTCGACGATTCTTTCGTGTGTTTTTTAGTTCGAAGTATTTATTTAAAAAATAATAATTCCCTTTGTCCATCAATGCTTTGTGAATTGCCCCTATTCCATTCAGATTAGCTCTTTACAGCATAATCTACTTACTTGTAAATACAAAGTCTCAACGAGACTTCGTTTTTGTGAAATGGAGACGAAATCTGTTGCGTCTCACGTGAGATGGAGTCATCTTCATTCCTTGTAATATTGACGTTTGATAAATTTACTCCATTCAACATCTCGTTTTCACATATGAATTCAAGATATGGCTGAACTAATCGGTATACTTTAAGTAAATTCATCGCTTGGTTTTCACTCTAAAGTCATTCACATATCTTAAATACAGTCTGTTTATTTTATTGCATCACATTTCTTGGTATTCTTCAAGTGAGTTAGAAACGTCTGCAAGTATTTAACCAAGAGGATTTCTTATAGCTTCTCCTGTCTGGCTATAATAATATGAGCCATCTTAAACTTTCAACTTCTACACGAATTTCAAACTTTGAATATATTTAAGAGATTTGGAGCATACTAAATGAGGTGAATTCAATTCACCACGCAACGTCTTTTTTCACTTTATACATATATACTTTTTTCGTTCCCACTTTTATTTTAGATTTTTACACTGGCTGAAAGCTTGGGTGGCTATGAAAGTTTGATTGAAATTCCGTAAGTTTCCTCACAGAAATAAGTATGAATGTTATACTCCGCTTACTTCAGATTTTTCCATTCATATCGGTTAAGTTTCGTAAATATCATTTTATTACAGTCTGACTTTTTCATGCATATAACATGGTGATGTTTCACTAAAATCTACATTGTACTATATGGATTTAGTCCTTCTGGAACATTTGCGTGGACTCCAATCATACCCTAGTCCGTGCATGTATATGTCTAAGATTGAACGGACATGTAAAACAGACAGCAATGAAGCCATTACGCCCCGTTTCCTAAGTCCTTATTCAAGAAAGAAATAGGTAAACGCGTCTCTGAGATTGGGACCAAGACTCATCCTGAAGAAGCCTGGAATAATATCCATTCAGCCATAGAAGCAGCAGTGAAGCAACCCAAAACCAAAAGATAGTGAACGCCAGTGGATTTCTGTTGCTTCATCCAAAATGACTGACGCAAGAAGAACGATTCCAGCTTGTTCCGAACATTATGAGAAGTGAAAGTTGCTGAAAAGCAATTTGGTCAAAAGTCTTCTCAACGACCGCAAATAGTGGTGGGTGACAAAAGCGAAAGAGATAGAAAAGGCTTCGGTGGTAGGTAACATCAGATTACGGAAACAGGTTGTAAAAGACAAACGATTAGCGAGACAATATCCGAGAAAAACGGGGAATTAATTAGCTCTCATGACAGAAGTCTGGAACGTTTGAGAGGATATTTTGAGGAAAAGTTTAACTAACCTACAGTCACGCTCAACTTGCCCAGCATCCAGCACCTAACTGATTGGGATATCGACATCTACCCTACAACTAAAATTGAGGTTACAAAGGCTATCTGTAATCTGAAGCGACGCAAAGCAGCACTACCTGGTGAAATTACTCCAGAGGTGTTTAATGTCTAGCGATCAGAAATATTTCCCCTAGAGTGATGTAAATCTTTGACTATCCCAGTTTATTAGAAAGAAGTCAAGTCTTCTTGTGACGGTTATAAGGGTATAGTCTTGACTAATATAGTATCTAAAGTTCTAGATTTAGTAATTATGTGCAGACTAGATGGTGCTCGGGGGAGAAAACAGGGCAAACTTTATATCAGGAAGAAAGTGTATTGACATAAGCATACTTACCGGCGTCCGAAACTTGTCATATTTCCTGACCTGAGGATGTCATTTGACTCCGTCAACCAAGAGGTGCTATGGCAGTGTTTGGCAATGAAGGGAATGCCTAGAAAGTTCATCGCACTAAGCAAGGCACTCTACTCGAACCCATGTTGACGTGTAAGAGCTTACTGAGAGCTGTTATCTTAAGTAGTAACAACCAGTGGTGTCCGTTAGGGATGTCTACTGTCCCAATTTTGCTTTAATTTCATCGTAGAGAATTGAAGCTAATCAACTTTAGTGACTTAGGGATCGACTTGTCATCAGGGATTGGCCTTGTGAACTTAGAGTATGCGAATGATGTTGTCGTCCTAGGTGAAGATGCCGACAAAATTTAGAGTTTTCTGAATACTTTGAGCAGCAATCTTCGAACTTTTGTGTGCAATTCGCTTCCTGTCAAATGTAAGAGGATGCTGCAGGACAGGACTACACCGACTCGTTGCTTAAAGAAAAGAAGTGAAGTGTTAGATTATGTTCACCACTTCACTTATCTGAGAAGTTGCATCAGCTGTAATGGACTGGTTGTTGACGAAATCTCAGCACGAATACAAAAGCTTGTCTGGCATTTACCAACTCCATCTCTAGCATAGACGTGATATCCGGCTTTCAATCAGAGGACGACTCAGGAGTTCACTCAGTACTACTTTATGGTTATGAGACATGGCCATTGAAAGTGGGAGGTATGAAAAAGGTTAGCTGCCTTCAGCTATCTATCTCCTGTGTTAAGCAGTATAATATTGAAGTTGGGTATACAGTGTTAGGTAAGGTGAGTAAGTCAATCGATGAGCTCGTGAAGCCATATCAGTTGAGATGGCTAGGATACATATTGCGCATGTTGAACCATCGCTGTACTCGACAAGCAATGTAAACTGACATATGATTGAGTTGGATAACAGTTTATGATGCCTAAACCAAAACCTGGCATCAGTCGATGAAGTCTTCGATGGCTGGTTTTTGCAACACGTAGAGAAGTGTAGATTGCCTGATTGAGGTTTTCAATGTGCTAAATATCAAACAATGAAGACTACTTTTGATATGGCTCAACACCGTTCTCACTGGTGTAGATGCATTTACTTTTTATCGTCTCCCATATCTACTAGACCGTCATATTTTTCTACGTCACTATTCTTTCACCTGCACACGTTTGCTTATTGTAGTTCCTTTGGGTCTTCTTTTCTTTCTTTCCTCTACATTTGTGTACTATATGGAGTGTGGCAACTTAAACTGCTGCATTTCTGTGTTAAGTTCTATTTTGGAACTGAGTTAGTCAGTCAAATGTTGTATTCCTAAAAAAGGTTTAACGGAAAAATATGCGTCTTAATGTAGAATAAATTTCTAGGCTGGAAGTAGCTAAAGGTAAAAATCTTCGAGTTCATTCACCAGGTATTTCGATAATGCAGTATGAGGAGGTTAATGCAACAAAAATAACTGGTTATTCTCATGAATTCTGAGTTAAATTTCACAACGTTCTTTTGATCCGATCGACGACTAAACAGCAACTGGGATTGAAAGCGATTCGGAAATGAGAATATTTTTTGAAATGAAAGTTACTGTTTAAACCGCTCATTTTGTACCCAATTAGCAGATTATCTCTTTCGTCTGACAAAATGCGCCACACTTAGTTGACCTAATCTCCCCATAGCTTTTCCAATATATTCAAGTTCACAATAACTCTCTGTTTTGCATTGACATATTTTCGTAATTAGCTTATAAATCGTTTTCACTTTATCCTCATCGTCTTCAACAGGAATTTGTATGAAACAAAGTGTAGATAATAAACTTGTTTCCGATTTATTTGTCGTTTACTGTTACATATCCCCTAATCCCACGACTCTGCATTATTCCCTTTTTCCTTATTCATATCAGAAGTATTTGACATAAATGTGTAATACTCACAGACTATCACTATATGCTAACGATTTAACTAACAGCTTCAGTAATTGTGTATAATATTTCTGCATAAATTATATATACCGCATTAAATTCACTTTAAAAAACAATTTCACTACAATAACTTCTTTCATATAGTTTGACAGTGGCTCGCTTTAACTTTAGTAGTACCCATATAACAGGGTTGATGTTTAATTAATAATGCAGACAAGACCCATAATAGCTTAGTTTGTTTATTTTCTGGTAAACAGATCCATTATGACGCATGCTTCAGTCCCCGAGGAAATTCGTATGGCTAATAAAATCACTGAGAACATGGTTCGTCTGTCCATAGGCCTCGAAGATCCAAAGGATTTAACACTAGATCTATACGGCGCGTTAGATAAATTGAACGAAGAATGAGAAGACGTTAACTTTACTATCTCTCACTATACGTAGTTAGTGTAACAACAATGTTCACTAATCTTGTTTTTTTATATTTTTACTAGTATATGTACATGCTAGCTGTAAACATTGTAATACACAAAATTTCTACAGGTATTCATTTACAAATAAATTTACTTAAAAATAGAAGCACTTTTTTCTGCACAGTGAAGCTATTTAATAACTGTCGGGTTCGCTTAATTGATTTCGAGGTCACCAACTACCGCTGAGTTGGAAGTAAATGGACTTGTTGTTAAAACTTAGTTACTTGAAGCAGATTTTTCATGTTCCAGGCTGAAGTACTTATTATGTAGTGCTAATCTTATTTCCCAGTTGCCCACATTGAAGCGAAGTGGAATCCCAATCAATGAACATTGGTTAAAACTTGAGTGTTGAGGATAATTAGTTGCATATTCAAATGCTAATCTCAAGTTATACTGAAATAGCGACATAGTGAAGCAAGTTGCCCAAGCGGAACAACTTTGTAACTACCATTTGTACTAAGAAGGAGAATTTTGTCGCTAACACAATAATAACCAAAATGTTTTCCTAACGAAACTTATCTTTCCATAACGTATGCCTAGCATAAACTTGGTCGTTTGTTAACCTAATCTTATGCAATCCAGATATCCCGTATGATATTCATAGACCTTGGTTATTTTTTATACCAGTGTGGTGATGATTACTTCGCATCATCAACTTGACCTGCTTGCGCACTGACACATTCACTCCAATTAGTCTAATGCAGCAATTTATAGAGCTCAATTCACTGGATAAGAGTGCACCACGGAAAATATCTTACAAAAAATCAAGTAAAGCTTCTCATTTAGTGTTTAAGAATTCCCAAACACCTTATTTTTGAAAGGTATCTTCAAAAACCTATCTGGAAGGACTGGGCGTAGTGCAAACATAATACAAGGTACTTTCCTCTAATTGCGTACAGCTTATGCTTCAGATGTAAGTCGGTGGTCTATGAAGCCGCTATTCGTACTTCATAAGTTAGAATTCTGTTAAACAGAATCTGTGTGCACCTTCCCTGTCGTGCTTACTTACCCTGAATTGTAAGGACCCACTTTTCAGCATTTCTAGAAAATTGGTCCCAAGCATAATTTCTTAACTGGCTGAGGATTTATTTAGGCACAACTTATTCAGCTCATCCTGTAAACGCTTGTTAACAATCCGGTATTGCTGTCGTTAGCTTTACTACTCGCCAGTCATGCTAAAAACCAGCAATCGTTAGCATTTATCAGTCAACACCTCTAGACTGACAAGCTTCGCATTAAACGTGAACTAGTTCAAGTTTCTACTCTCCATAAAGTCAAAAAAGGCAGATGAAAGAAATACCCACCATGAAGTTAAAGTATACGAGATTACATAGGAGGAAGTGACAAAATTTCATAATGGTTGAGGGATTTCAGAATCTGGAAGACCACAAGTAATCGGCTCGTCTGCACCACTTAGCATACTTTGCAGCTGTATCACCAACGGTCTCCACTTATTGATTCTTAAAATAGTGAGGCCCCAGGCAAGATAATCCGTAGAGTCAGGTGATTTCAAACAACGATTGATGTCATTTTCTGGTATGAATACGCCTAATACATTCCGGTCCTAGGCGTCCTACCCGTTGATGAAGGCGTGGCTCGTCGTACACATATCCCAGATTTCTGCAGTCTCATAACGTCGTCGACTGCGCTCTTAAACACTATACTTAACATTAGTATTACTCAGTACATTCTAACCCGAGAAATAGATAGCATACACCCCCAAGATCTCTCACTTTAAATGCGTCACATCCATATACAAGAATGGCTGCAGTCCATTGATAAGTAACCGGACATCACACGTCAAAGGTTCTTTGCCCACGGTGTTCAGACCAATTCCTGCCAGAATTCCCGAATGACGGATTAATACCTGATTAGTAGCACACCTAGTTTTAGATTACTCGCATCACACTTCAAACGCGATAGAAACATATGCTTAACGTCCTACGCAAAAGTGCTCCGTTGAGCCTACAGTTCTCCCTTTGCCAACGTGCCATTACTTAAAGGCGTAGCTAGATCTGTTTCCCACTACCAACCCATAATGGTAGGCTTAGTCGGCATAATTACATCCAACATAAGAACATCCCCTCTTAGGCTTGTCAACCGCTTACTTGAAAAGTATGTGGACCACACAACTCAAAGTTTGCTAATATGGACGACCCCTAGATCCGCGCCTAAGAATCATTAACGGAAATGAGACTGCTAAAACGACCGTTTCGTAACAGCTTTACGCATGTTGGAAGGTAACGTCACTTTATGCTCTACGAGCCACACTTAAGGAACTAGAAATGAAGTACCAACTACGAGCAAGTACATAAACTCTAATTATGTTTCACGATACACAAAAACGTTTATTTAAATTTGTACATGCTTATTCCATTCTATGCAGGGATTTTTATACACTACACCATATCACGTATCAACAAGTCCTTTCAGAAATTTCGTGCAGCTACTTGCAGTCCTCTTGTTAAGTGATCCAGCAGCAACCAGCTAAACAACAAAAAGCAGACAGTACATTACTAGTTGAAGTACCAAACAATACGCTATTACATGTCAAGGTAAAAAAATGTCACGTGGTTTACCAGGACAGCTTGCAGCCGACCAACGAATCACGTATTCATTTCGCATTCAAAACGACCCCTTTACAGAAGGGGAGATACAGAATGCAAGGAAATACATTAATGCATAACTTACCAGTAACTGGGAACCTGAAATGACAAAAGAGTAACTGTTAGTCAGTGGGTCAAGGAAAGTCAGTCCTGTTGAGCAAGAAAATCACGTTTCAATTCAAACATAATCCATCATTCAGTCAACTCACCTGTAGTTGGATTTATTGGCCATTAGGTTACTTCATGACCTACAATAAGATGAGCATGTGTTAGCATCTGCACATGTAATGGAAATACAATCAGGCCTATCATTGAATTAATCATTATCATTAAATGCTCACAAGTTCATCATTCATACGCATACTTACATTCAGGAAATTCGCGTTGTAAAACTGACATCACGCCAAACTGAAGCCTGCAAAACAACAAAACATACTTCAAGTTACAAGTCCAAGAATTGTCGAACTAATGCTATCACAAGAAACGTCTAGGTTAGGTGTCACGTGGTTTACCAGGACAGCTTGCAGCCGACCAACGAATCACGTATTCATTTCGCATTCAAAACGACCCCTTTACAGAAGGGGAGATACAGAATGCAAGGAAATACATTAATGCATAACTTACCAGTAACTGGGAACCTGAAATGACAAAAGAGTAACTGTTAGTCAGTGGGTCAAGGAAAGTCAGTCCTGTTGAGCAAGAAAATCACGTTTCAATTCAAACATAATCCATCATTCAGTCAACTCACCTGTAGTTGGATTTATTGGCCATTAGGTTACTTCATGACCTACAATAAGATGAGCATGTGTTAGCATCTGCACATGTAATGGAAATACAATCAGGCCTATCATTGAATTAATCATTATCATTAAATGCTCACAAGTTCATCATTCATACGCATACTTACATTCAGGAAATTCGCGTTGTAAAACTGACATCACGCCAAACTGAAGCCTGCAAAACAACAAAACATACTTCAAGTTACAAGTCCAAGAATTGTCGAACTAATGCTATCACAAGAAACGTCTAGGTTAGATGTCACGTGGTTTACCAGGACAGCTTGCAGCCGACCAACGAGTCGCGTATTCATTTCGCATTCAAAACGACCCCTTTACAGAAGGGGAGATACAGAATGCAATGAAATACATTAATGCTTAACTTACCAGCAACTGGGAACCTGAAATGACAAAAGAGTAACTGTTAGTCAGTGAGTCAAGGAAAGTCAGTCCTGTTGAGCAAGAAAATCACGTTTCAATTCAAACATATTCCATCATTCAGTCAACTCACCTGTAGATAGATTTATTGGTCATTGGGTTACTTCGTGACCTACAACAAGAAGAGCATGTGTTAGCATCTGCACGAATTATGGAAATACAATCAGGCCTATCATTGGATTAATCATTATCATTAAAGGCTCACAAGTTCATCATTTAAGTAAGATTTACTCACCATGTGACAGCGCCGTGCATCATTAATAGTGGCCAGAAAATTACATCAGTAGCAACCTGAAAAGACAACCAACATCGATGAAATTGTCTAAAATTATCAGATACTATCTAGTGACTTTCATGATATCATCCACAAGTTCTCATCATTATACTAGGAAACTTACAACTGACGACAACATGCGCGTGCATGAAAACCCGGTGATGATCTCATGACTGTGCCACGTTACATTGCCACGCGTGAACGCTTATATAGTAGGTAACCGCGCGTTGTTGGATGAGCATCAATTTAAACAAGTTTGCGCTGGAATTTAAACTTTAAATACGGTATTTTAAGTCAGACAATTTCGTCTTATTAAATCTTTTTCAACTTATGGCCCACTTATACAGAGTGAAACGATGTTTCCTGCCAGCGTGGAAGTAGAATTTTTTTAACACTTCATAATAGGTAGTTGCGTTTCCCATTTCAAACAAGGTTAGTGTGCCACATTATATTTTCTCGCATGCAAAGGATGCTGCATAATAGTGATAGGGAAGACCTTGGCTAAATTCAGATCTCCCAGAACATCTGAAAATAAACATCTCATACAGGACAGCTTGCAGAGATTAAATTACACTCCCTAGAAAAATTCTGAAAAGTCTTTAGATATATCCTTTAAAACCTAGTCACTGACTAAGCATTTCAAGACACTTGGGATATAATCCATAACGATGCTTACCTGAGCTTTGATATATTATGTAGTAGTAGGAAAAATGCAATGAGAGTACTAACGCAAAAGGAGTTCTTCATAGTTTCCTTTGGCTGGACTTATCCGGCATGTTGGTTGAAATTTCGCTCGGCAAATTTTTTTTGTCAATAATTTTCAATAAAATTGTTTTATATG